AGGGCCACTATCAGCCTGACCCTGTTCCAACCTGAAAAGGCAGCTGGGCCTCCAGCCCTGACAGTACCTGGCACACCTTTGATCCTCTGCATGCTGGGCCCCAGGACTACACAGCCCAGCTCAGCAAATGTCAGTGGATAAATGGGTTTCTTCTCCACAGAGCCTTGGGCCCAGCCAGTCTGAGCAGGTGGGCCACTATCTTTCCCTCTTCTTGTGGCATCCTCATTTGAATGGCTTTTGTCCATGGTCACTGCTTCCCAGAGGCTCAGCCAGGTCTACAGAAAGGACCTGCCACTCCCCTCTCCAGCCTCTGTGGTGTGGAGGTGCTGGCACCAGTCCTGCCCCACCCCTGGGAAAGAGGTCGTGGTGAAATCATCTCACATTCTCGTGCTTCTTGGCATTTCAAAGTGGCTTCAGGCCTCTTATGTCTACAACAGCCCTGCTGGAAGGGTTATAATTACCCTCCCTTCGCAGATTAATATGCTGAGGCCAGGAGGCCATGTGGTGCCAGTTCTGAGCTCCTGTGCTTAGTCTACACCCTGCCTGTATCTGGGGTCCTGTCTAGGTCAGTACCTGGCAGCAGTGCCTTGGTTAGAGAAAATGAAGCTGTCAATTCAGTGACCCCAGCCTAGCAGAAAGAAAGGCACAGAGGCCAAGGATTTGGCTCAGTGGTTCTACCGCCAACCTCACAAGCCTAAGAATCTGAGTTTGATCCCTGGTACAAAAGAAAAAAAAAAATACACAGAAGCCAGGCATAATGGTGCACGCCTGTAATCCTAGTGCTTCGGAGGCTGAGGCAGTAGGATTGCCTCTAGGTTAAGGCCAGCTTGGACAACATAGTGAGTTTAGAGCCAGACTGAACTACAAAGTGAGACTCTGTCTTAGGGGTGGAGGAGAAAAGAAAAGAAAAAGGCACAGAAGTTTCCAAAAAGAGGAAGAGGGGGACTGGGGCAGGGAGAAACCCAGAGAGCGCACACAGGTAAACCATAGGGAGCCTCAGTGTTCTGAACCATGGCATTGGCCTCTGGGTCAACAGGAGGCTCAGCGGTCTGTAACCAATTCTTAGACCTCCTGAGTCCAGGTCTCTGGCTCCCCTCCCAAGGTACAGAGATAGATTCAGCCTCCAGTGGCAGCTGAGTCTCCCAGCCTGGGCCTCGAAATCAGCTTAGAGCTACTGGACCTGTCCTGGGCCACCTGAAGTGTGGTCTCCACTCCCACCCCAGGGGGTCAAGGAGTGGGAAGCTGACAGTGGGGTCCTGCAGCCCTGCCCACTGTGCCCCAGATGTGTACCCTCAACCAAGTTCCTCCCCCTTTATCTGGACACTGTCTTTTTGGATATAAAGGAAAACAGGCCAGGTGTGGTGGCGCATGCCTGTAATCCCAGCACTTGGGAAGATGAGGCAGGAGGCTTGCTTTGAGTTTGAGGCCAGCCTGGACTACACAGCGAGACCATCTCAAACAAAATACAAGGAGAACCTAGCCAGGGATTTGGCTGAATGGCACTGTGCCTGCCTTGCAAGTGCAAGGTCCCCTGGTACCAAAAAACAAAATAACAAGAACCTTACTTGCTCAGGTGTGGGGGACAAGCAAGGTATACAGTATGGCCCCACTGACCCTCCTGACATTTCTCTTAGAAGAGGTGATGAGGTACACTGTTGGATGTTGGGGAGCATAAGCCTTTGCCGCCTAGGCATCCAGTCCTTGTTAAAGAGCTGTTCGGGGGCTGGGGATTTAGCTCAGTGGTTTCACCGCCTGCCTCACAAGCACAAGGTCCTGAGTTTGATCCCCAGTACAAAAAACAACAAAAAAATATAGGGGACCTTGGGATGGAGATGGCCAGGGTGAGCAGCTCTGCTCCTCACCCTGGCCCTTGGCAGCTCCTCATGTCCACTCCCCTGCTAGCCATCAGGGTGTCCTTTGAAAGGTCCAAAGCTCTAAATGTGTGGACATACGGTAGTTTCATCATTCTGAGTTTCCTCCCAAACCCTTGCCGGCGGTGCTCCAGCCCGCCCTATGAGCTCCCACACTGCTGAGCTGCAGCCCTGTGTGGTTTTGCAATTACCAGTCCCTCTGGGTGCACAGGAAGCAAGGCCCCAAGCCCCCTCAGCCACCACCCCTCTGGCCTATGGGCGCCACTGAGTCTGCAAGCTGCTTCATGGAAGGGTAGGTCCTCCTTCTTTGTTCTGGTTGCTGGGTGGGGCATTGGGCTCCCTGCCCTTCCCTGACCCCAGGGTGGGGGGTCAAGAAAGGAGGCCACTGAGGTGGATATTCTCAGGCTCAGCCTCTGAGACACATTTTAGAGACCAGGAAACAGGCTCAGGAGGTAAAGCAATGGCTGGACCACAGCAAGTAGCAAAGGTGGGATTCAAACTGAGGGCTCTGTGTGGACAACTGCCCTCTGGGTGCTACTGTAGCTGGTGACTTTATTTGTAGTGCTTGGGGGAAAAACCCATGGCCTCATGTGTACTAGGCACTTGCTCTGCCACTGGGCCATGCCCCAGCCCCAAGGTGGTGACTGAACCAGAGGGTAGGAGCAGTGGCCAGGAATCCTTCCACCAGCAGACTGGCCTTGGGTCAGTACTGTGACTCACCCGACTTCGATAAGAACAGGGCTCTGGAGTAGACTTTTTAGTTCCTTGTGTTCTAAAGAGCAGGAGTAATGTTCATTCTTCATGATGATACAGGGAATCATATCACAACACACAGCTGTGTGGGGGCTGGAACAGTGGGATGTCCCTTTGCCTCCTGGTCCTGGACGGCTGTTACTCTAGGGCTCTGCGAACAGGGTAGAAGGATCCCTCCTCTGCCCAGCCCCGCCTCTGCAGGGCATCTTCTCACCCAGGTTGGAAGTGAGGTGAGGCCACACTGCTATTATCCATATGCACCAGCCCTTCGTGCACCCACATCACAGCCCATAGGGGACTTTACCCTGTAAGACCCAAACCAGGCACATGAGCCCTGGAGCTGCAGTAGTGGGGCTCTGGGGGTGCCTGTCCCTGCCTTTCCTCTTCAAACCTCAGCTCAGCAGGCCCTTCTAGGAAGCCTCCAGGAGTTCACCCTGCACTAAGGGGTGGGTGCCGAGAGTTCTGTGTGCCCAGAGCCCCCCACAGGTGGAGCACCCCAGTGGGGGCGGGCCACTCCCCTCATTCCCACCCTACCAGAGATCCTGGGTCTGTTTTCTCAGGTGCTTTGACAGCTTGAGCAAGCATGCTGCACCCCCAAGGACTCCTGCAAGCTGCCATTGGCTGACCCAAGCTTCTGGGGTCCTAGGCAGAGGGACAGCATTTAATCTCTATTTTGGGCTTCTCAAGCCTGAGGATGGCTACATTTTGAGGGTGCTGGAAGCTTGTTTGGGGCCTTTTTGGAGATAGTGTCTTGCTCTACAGTCCAGGCTGGCCTCAAATTTCATATACTGTAGGCCTGGCTGGCCTCAAACTTTTAATCCTCCTGCCTCTTGAGTGTTGTGATTATAGGAACCACTGAACCTAGCTGGAAGGTTCAGTTTTCATTCATGTGTTCATTTGTCCCATTCAGTTGTAATGGGGATTGAACCAGGGCCTTTGCACCTACATCCCCAGCCCCTTTAAAAATTTTTTTGACCTCTTGCCCCACAAGTGCAAGGTCCCGAGTTCCATCCCAGTACAGAAGAAAAAAAAATTTTTTTTAAACAAAAAACTAGGATTAGAGGTCCCATTTGATCTAGTGATTCCTCTGCTTGGTATCTTCCCAAAAGAATTAAAAGAATCATACCACAGCGATATATACACAACCATGTTAATAGTGGCGCAGTTTGTAATAACTAAAACTTGAAAACAGCCCAATTGCCCAACAACTGGAGACTGGAGAAACTATATATATATATATATATATATATACCACTCAGCCATAAAGAATGAGAAATTAGAAACATTTATAGTTAAATGGATGCACATTGAGGCCATACTCTTACATGAAATAAACAGGACACACGTGTAAATACCAAATTGTTTCTCTGGTGTGAAAAACTAAAAGTATAAATAAGGATCAAAATGTATGATTGGTAATGTGAAATAGGAAGAAAAGGGACAAAGGGAAGGGGAAATGGGAGGCGTAGGGGAAAAGAAAGGGAATGGAATTAATAGAAAATGAAAATATGGAAACAAAGTCTTTGTAAATAGGGAGGGGTGGAGGGGTTGAAGGGAGGGCAGGGGAATGGAGAAAAAATAAGAACCAAGATAGATTATGTAAAGGTACAAATTTCCAATGATGAATGTCATTACATTGTATGCCTAAAATGTACTGATTTAACAATGAGAAAAAAAACATAGAATCATGAGGATAATAGATTTTAAATAAAAACTTATTGACCACTTTATGAAATAAAACTTTTTTGAGGGTCTGAGTCACTCTATTGCCCAGGCTAGGCTCAAATTCACAGTCCTCTTGCCTCAGCCTGCCAGAGTCCTCGGGTTACAGGTGTGTGCTGCTACACCCAGCATTCATTCATTTATGCATTTGAAACGGGATCTTATAATGTAGCCCAGGCTGGCCTCAAACTAGAGATGCTCTTCCTGCGTTAGTCTATTTTTCATTACGTTTTACTTATTTTTGGTTTTTTTGAGACAAGGTCTTGTTACGTACCGTAGTTCAAACTGGTCTTGAACTTATTAAGTAGCTGAGGCTGGCCTTGATCTTGGAACGATTCTCCTGGCCCAGCCTCCCGAGTGCTAGAATTACAGGTATGCGCCACAACCAGCTTATTTCTTCCATTTATTTATTTATTCATTTAGGTACCAGGGATCGAACTCAGGCCCTTGCACTTCTGAGGCAGGCACCAGATCCATAGGGCTAAATCCCCAGCCCTTACTTTTCCTCTGAAAGGGTGATTTTTTTTTTTTTT